TTTTCTGGGTATTTATTTTAATTGTTTTTATCTTTCTGTTGTATTTCCTTTTATTTTAGTTGTACAAGTGTTCATCATCTGGAATATTTGACTTTATATAATTGAACCCATCCTTGTCACTAATATCTCCTTCCACAGTGGAAATAAACAGTCTTTCTTTCTTTCTAGAGTTTGTATGGTAATGTCTAAAATGTTTAACTGTAGAGCTCATCTGAATTTTTTTGCAGCATGTAAAAATCAAGAGGTTCATTAAGAAAAATAAAGATTTAGAATTTTTTAAACAACTAATTTGGGTTCAGCAGCACTAGCTGCTACCTTCTCAAGACTCATGGTCCTCTACAGAGTGAAAGCAGGTACTTTGACTTATTTCCCTTTGTCTTCCCCCACAACATTCAGCAAAGTACCTTGCATATAGGATTAAGTATTATCATATCTGAATTTAATTTATGTATTTTTCATACCAATATCAAATTGTTCCAACAGTATTTACTGTTTTTATTTATTTATTTATTTATTTATTTATCTATTTATTTTTGGTACAGGGAATTGAACCCAGAGGCACTTTACTACTGAGCCACATCCCCAGCACTTTTTATATTTTAATTTGAGACAGGGTCTCACTAAGTTATGTAGGACTTCATTGAGTTGCTGAGGCTGGCCTTAAGCTTGCAATCCTCCTGCCTCAACCTCCCAGGTCGCTGGGATTATAGGTGTGCACCACCAAGCCCAGCTCAACAGTATTTATTACATAATAACTCTTTTCCAATTATTTATTTGGTTGCTTAAAATTGGTCATGTATCAGTGACACTTAGTTTTTTTTCCCAATGGCAAAACACCTAGAAGTTGCAGCACTCCTTGCAGAATGTCGTGCCATGGAGATATTGAACTTAAAAAAAATTAAAATCCAGTGCTAAACTAGGCAATCAGTTTTGCCAGATTCTAGTATAGTGTAGATGCCATATGATCACAACAGTTCTTTTTAATGTATGTGAGATGTCTTAGAATTGATAAAATTCTAGCCAATAACTTAATTCCTTCCAACAATCAAGAGAATACCAGCCTATGGGAAGAGTAAAGTCATCCAGAGCAAAAGTCGAGAACCACATCTTATATTAAACTTTGCCACTTGAAAGAATATAAATAAAAGCCTCTGATCAAGTGTAAACATTATATAAAGTCCAGCTGAACTGGGCTGAACTCCAGCTGAACCCAGAAACTATTTTAGATCAGTCTTTTGAATTGCCATGTATAGAATTCCAGCAATATTGGAAGGTCTAAGAAAGAGCAGATGTCAGACCTCTAGTGCCTGTTCACACCGGCAACCTGACCTCTGGAGACTTCTTTTCATTAATCTATAAATCAGAAAGGAGACGACACAAGGGTTCTCACACCTACCCCTACACTACCACCCTTCAGAATATGAATGTTGCAAAGCTAACAGGAAGTAGGTGTGTTGGAACCATTAAAAGGAACCCATGTTAGTTCTGACAAAGACTTCAACAGACCAGGCTCTGTACCGTGTTCCTGAAGACAGGAATGTTTGTGAAAGCTGTGGAAACTCTGGGAAAGCAAGGGGGTTTGCTATGTTAATTAATGTGTTTTCATGAAGCTTCTGTTTAGACTTTTGGCTTTAAAAGTTTCTTGTAAGACAATATGCTGAGGTAACACACACAAACACACACACACACACGATGTGTAAGAGATCTAGGGTTGGGTCTTCACCTTGCCACTTGATCTAAAATGAGTCATTCAACATTTATGGACCTTAGTCTTTCTGTTGAAAAAAAAATGAGTAGTCAAATGAACAACTTTTAAAATCTGTAGTCTTTTCCAAACACAGATATGTTCAAATTCAAGAAAATAGAGGATTAATATTGTCCAAATATATATACAATTATGTATATTATATATAATTGTATAGTCATTATACACACACATGTATACAATTCAAGAAAAATCAAGATACAAAACTTTATACTAACCAGGCATGGTGGTGCATGTCTGTAATCCCAGTGGTTTGGGAGCCTGAGGCAGGAGGATCACAAGTTCAAAGCCTACCTCAGCAACAGCAAGGTGCTAAGCAACTCAATGAGACCCTGTCTCTAAATAAAATACAAAATAAGGCTGGGGATGTGGCTCAGGCTCAGTGATTGAGTGCCTCTGAGTTTAATCCCCATAACCCCTCCCCCCAAAAAAAACTTCAAACACTTAGAAAACAGATAATTTGCTATTTTCTATGGTCCTTGCCTAATAGCTCTCTATTTTAAAACTTCCCCCAAATATGAAAACAATGCTACAGGACAGTGGAATGTGCAATGATTTTTTGAATAAAACCCTAGGAAGAAAAAAAAAGCAAAAATAGACAAATGAGATTAAGCAAACTAAAAAGCTACAGTTCAGCAAAGGAAACAATCAGCCAAGCAAAGATACCACCTACAGAATGGGAGAAAATACTTGCAAACTATACATCTGACAAGGGGTTAGTGTCTGAAATATGTAAGGAACTTAAAACACTCAATAGCAAAAAAAAAAATAATAAAAATAAAAACCAAAAAACTCACAACCCAATTTTAAAATGGGCAATAGACTTAAATAGACATTTCTCAAAAGAAGATATAGAAAAGGTCACCAGGTATATAAAAAACTAAATCAACGTTACCAATAATAAGAGAAATGCAAATTAAACCACAATGAGATATTACTTCATTCAAGTAAGAATGGTTATTCTTTGAGATTTTTGTTATGTTTTGGTTTTGGTTTTGGTTTTTTTGGCAATACTGAGATTGAGCCCAGGGGTGCTCTAACACTGAGTACACATCCACAGCCCTTTTTATTTTATTTTATTTTATTTTTAAGCAGGGTCTCTCTAAGTTGCTGAAGCTGATCTTGAACTTGTGATCCTCCTGCTTCAGCCTCCCCAAACGTTGGGATTACAAGCATGTGTTTCTGCCCTGCCAAGAATGGCTGTTCCTAAAAAGACAAAAGATAACAAGTGCTGTTGAGGATGTGGAAAGAAAGAAACACTTGTACATTATTTGTAGGAATATAAATTAATGTGGTCATTTTGGAAAACAGTATGGAGGTTCCTCAAAAAATTAAAAATAGAACTACCATGTGATTCAGTAATCCTATTATTTACCCAAAAGAAATGAAATGAATATGTTGAAGAGACATCTACCCTCCCATGTTCATGGTATCACTATTCATTAAGCCAAGAAATGGAAACAACCTGAGCATCTTACCAACTGAAGATTAGATAAAGAAGATGTGGAGGCCCGGTGCCAGGGCTCATTATTATAATCCCAGCAACTCAGGAGGCCGAGGCAGGAGGATTGCAAACTCAAGATCAGAGAACAACTTAGACCCTGTCTCAAAATTAAAAAGGGTTGCAGATGTAGCTCAGTGGTAGAGCAGTTACCTAGTATGTGAAAGGCCCTTTGTTCAATCTCCAAGAAAAGAAGGGATGAAAGGAAGAGGAAGGAGTGGTACATAGTCACCATGGAATACTATTAATCCATAACAAAAAATGAAATTCTGTCATTTGCAACAACACAGATGCAACTGGAGATAATTGTGCTAAGTGAAATAAGTCAGGATGAGAAAGACAGGTACAGCATGATCTCACTCATATGCAGAATATAAAAAGTTGATTTCATGGAAGCTGAGAGTAGAATCCTGGTTACCAGAGGCTGGGAAGAGTAGCAGGGGTCAAAGATGGTAAAAGGTTGATCAATGGGTACTGAGTTATAGTTAGGGGTAAGAAGTTCTGATTTGCCATCCCACAGTTGGAAGACTATAGGTAACAGTAATCTACTGTACATTTCATAAAGCTAGAAGAAACAAAGTTGACTCTTTACACCATAAAGAAAAAGAAATGATAAATGAAGAGATAGATATGTTTAACCAGATGGAAACGTTACATGGTGTATATGCAAGTACGGAAACAGCCCATGGTACCCCATTAATATGTAAATTTTAATGTTTTTTTTGTAACTATTAAAAATAAATTTAAATTCCAAAACAGAGTATGTAAAATGTACAGGGAAAAGAATCCCCCAGAATTTCCTTCAGTAATGAAAATCTCTATTGAAGCTTAAAAGAAGATTCAAAATTCAGATCACTGACTCTTTTTGATGAACAATTAGTTCATCATAAACACCCTGTTCAGGAAACACTCTCTTCCTCACAGCACTGGGATGCCCGAAGACAGTGTTCTGTGACGGTATCTGTGAGTGTGAGTGTTGGCGAGCAGTTAGAACTGCTGGATCTGGATTCAGATATACGACCAAAAGGGCAGCAGAGTCCACAAAAATCATTCCCTTGGGAGGGGAATGAATCAGAAATTCATCTGACACGTGGTTTCCTAATCTCCAGTGCACTCTTGGTCCAGGGTTCTTAAATCAAGACTAACAGGGAGAGGCTGCTCCATGACATGGGATCACCCTCCTGCCCCTCCTAGACACATTCTACAGAAACTGCATGGATCAGTGGTAGTGTTCAAAGCACTTTGGTAAATACTAGCTCAAGCTATTTTCCCCCAAAGTGTATCCCACCAAAAGATTTGCTTCTCATCTTCCCAAGAGTATGTGTGCTCCAGATGTCTTTGAACTCTCACTGTAGGATGTGGTGCAAACCATCCCAGATTGCCTTGGTCATCCTAATGGAGTTATTGCACCGAAGGTGCTCTCCTTGGCAGAGGCTGACCACCAACCTCTCCCTCACCAGTAAAGACACACCAATTTGTTTTCTGTCACGCCAGACTGCAGATTCAGATCAGAAATATGAAGGCATAGTTACAGACTGCAGCCGGTGTTTACACTTAGCGATTCCTGAGCGTGTGCTTTTCAGATGACATTTCTCCTAGTTGCTGCAAAGCTCCCCGCGCCCATTAAAACAGGTCACAGCTCCTCCTGAGTGCATTTGTGTGAAAAGCCATTTTTCACTTAATTCCCCCTACACCTGGGACGGCTTACAGTCAAGTGTTGCTGTCTGGTTGCAGGTTCAGAAGATGGTCTTGCACAGAAGCAGCGAACACCTCGCCGACGCTGTCAGCAGCCCAAAATGTTGAGTAGCCCTGAGGACACCATGTACTATAACCAGTTAAATGTGAGTTCAAAGTGGCCATAAAGCTGCTTCGCTGGCTTTGTTTCCAGTTAATAATTCTGTTATTAATACCTGTTCCAGCCCCTCAAGCCCCACCCCCACTCTCTTATGCTCTCCTCGTGAACATGTGCTTAGGCTCTTTATCTGTTGCTTTCATGTCAGGATGTCTGCCTTCACGGTGAATAATTGATGTGGTTTATCAAAGACGAGCAAGATGCATGCTTCATCAGGCTCACTTGAGCCCTTTGATCAAAAAAATTATGCTGTGACTTCTGATATTATCAGCATCTGCTTGCATTCAACACAAAATCACTTTGAATTAAAAATTAACGACTTGCTGCTTTGCTTTGACTGTGTGTTCTTGGCCCTCTCCACAGGGAACTCTAGAATATCAAGGGAGCAAGAGGAAGCCAAGAAAACTTGGGTAAATATCTGTCTTCTTAGTTCTAAGCAACTGTAAACAGAAGGGGTCCTTTGTGATATTACAGAAAAGGCAAAACTTTCCAGAGAGGCTTCTAAAAATATTCAATCCGGATATTGCCACTGTTATTGACATTGGAAACGACTTTTCACAGTAGCAAGTATACAAAACTTGCATCTATTTTGTCCGGAAAGGCTGAGATTGTCACCTAAGGGCAAATGTTATTTCTCCTAATTATTCTAGGGAATTGTACTTTCTTCATAATTGAAGACAGGTAGCGGGTTGTATTAAATTCTCTTTCCACAAATAAGAGGATTCTTCTAAGTGCAAATGGGCTGCTTCCTGCTCGCATTATCCTACCCTGGGCCTTAAAACATGCTCAGAAGAAAATTTCCCCCAATGGAGAAAGAGAGGACAGTAAGAAGTTAGCTTGTAGCTCATCTGTTGTTAGCATCTCTACTGAGAATAGCAGGGAAGTAGATAATCGGTACTGTATTGAGAACTGGGGGAGATCAGGAGGAGAATTTTTTATCTAGAGGAAACCAGATGGAGACAGGCAATTTAATTACACAAATCAAGTTTCAAGGTGATCACAACTTCTAGATTCTACTAAAATGGACCCCTTGTCAGTATGTGACCCAGAGACGGAACCCCCAACCTCTGTGCTGTGAGACCTTGTGATACCTAAGTGCCCTCCCCTCCAGGATTGGAACCCAATCCCATTCCAACTTCTCACATAACTTTGCTGCCTCCGGGAAGACTATGCCATTTGTTTGCTTTTTCTGATGAAAAATCCTCTTCATTTCTTTGTTGCAGCCATCTCAAAGTGCTGGATGGGGAAGACGAATACTACAAGTCTCTGTCCCCAGTGGCTGGTATCCCTGAGAATATCGCAGCCCACCTTTTCTTTTTTTCTTCATCCTCAAAGGGAAATTCTTTTGCTCAACACTGAGTTGCACTTCCTGGCCCCAAATCTGCCCAAGGTAAAAAGAGTCGATAATTTATTGTTACTGAACATGAAGGCTTCTTTGGATGCACGGTCTGTGCTGAGCCTCGCTGAACCATTCACATTCCTAAATATCTTCTTCTGTCTTTATTGTTCTCTCACATCTGTTGTGCAGCCTGAGCTGGGCAGTCCCTCCTTTTCTCATCCCATGGGTCCCTGTGGGATGCTGTGAACTCTTGCACCACAGTAATGACAGTTCATGTCCCCAGCATCTAAGAAGGTAGCAAAGTCTTAAAGTAGGCCGATCATGCAGATAAGCTGTCTTTGATTTCCCACCAAGTCACCTTTCAATCCATGTAGAATCCGCCCCTGTAGAGGTCTAGGAGTCCCCTTCCTGCTCCTGTCTCTACCCGCCTCCCCCACAGGGCTTTTCCACTCCTCCTGCCTCCCCTGGGGTCAGGGCTCCACTTCTGAGGGCCCCACATCCTGGAGGAGTTCCCTGAGGTCTCCTAGCACAGAATAATTTTCTGTGTTTCAGCACAAAGGCCTAAATCAGATTCTTTCTACAAGGTAAATGAACACCTCTCTTGCTAATTGTTATGCTGAAAAGCCTTCACTCTCAATGAAGGCTTCAATGCCAAGACACCTCCATCACTCAAATAGTGAAAAGGAAAGAAAACTTAGACCTGTCCAAGTCTGGGGCACATCATTTTGTAACTCCACTCACTGGTCAGCTGTCTCCACTTGGCTGGAGTGGCTGCGGGGGGAGGGATCTTGTCCATCTTTGTGGGCATAGGAACCCAGCACAGTGTCTGGAAGAATAGACACCAGTGCATACAGAATAGATGGAGAGACTTCATTTGGTCACACAAACATATCTGACAGAACAGTTACTTTCAATTATATGGTATATGTGATTGATCAGTCTTACATCATAAGCTGTTCTTTTCACTCAAGGTTGAGCTAGTCCTATTATAATGATATCATATGATATATTCTAATACTTAATATGATTCAGTATGACATGCTTTTTTGACCTCCTCTATGTGAAATAATATATAAGATTGCTGTGTGATTTTAAAAAAAAACAAAAACAAAAACAAAAAAAACCTATAGGATCCTTTCTCAGAATAGAGGTTCTTAGCTCTAAAATACTTAGCAGATAGTATGCATTGGGGTATCTAGATTTTGAGGGGAAAAAAAGAAACCCTGAAATATATAGAAAAATTATTATCAGAGTTTTTAAAGAGAGGGTATTAATAAACATTTTATGAAGAGAAATAGTGAAATGCCTTTTAAAGATCTCAGAAATTATAGTTTTAAAAGGAAAAGAAGTTATAGTCAATTTTTCTTTTTTTTTTTTAAAGAGAGAGTGAGAGAGGAGAGAAAGAGAGAAAAAAAATTTTAATATTTATTTTTTAGTTATCGGCGGATACAACATCTTTGTTTTGTATGTGGTGCTGAGGATCAAACCCAGGCCGCACGCATGCCAGGTGAGCGCGCTACCACTTGAGCCACATCCCCAGCCCTATAGTCAATTTTTCAATAGCTAAATTTTACATTTAAAAGATGAATCTTGGATTTTTTTTCAGCTCTTCACTCAAAAGGCAATGTTTATAAGAAACAAAACTACCTTTATTTCATTGTTTAAGAAATAATGCCTCAGGCAGGGTAATAAATGAATGCTTTTAGAAATTTCACTTTTAGCATTGATTAGTCTATTTGTGGGGGGCACTGGGGATTGAACTCAGGGCTCTTAACCACTGAGCCACAGCCCCAGGCTCCTCCCCTGCCCCTTCATTTTTTTGTATTTTATTTAGAGATAGGGTCTCACCAAGTTGCTTAGGGCCTCACTAAATTGGTGAGGCTGACTTTGAACTTGCAATCCTCCTGCCTCAGCCTCCCAAGCCACTGGGATTAAGTGTGTACCACCATACCTGGTGACTGATTAGTCTACTTTCAATTTGATAAAATTAGTTGTTTTTCAGATGTTCATAACTTTCCACTTGTCCGTGTACAATGTAACTGTAAACCTGCTTGTTTCTAATTAAAATGTCTCTATAGGGCTGGGGATGTGGCTCAAGCGGTAGCGCGCTTGCCTGGCATGCGTGCAGCCCAGGTTCAATCCTCAGCACCACATACGAAGATGTTGTGTCCGCTGATAACTAAAAAATAAAATATTAAAATTCTCTCTCTCTCTTAAAAAAAAGTAAGGTTTTAAAAAAAATTAAATAAATAAAATGTCTCTATAAATAAAGTTAAGAAGAAAGTAATTATAAGAAAAGAAAGTAATTGTAAAATCATAATTGAGAAGCTCTGTAATAATTAAGCAGTGATACAGCTATAATTCCTGTGAGTAATTTGGAAACAGTGGTCACTATCGGCTGCAGCACAGATAAGACAAGACTGTAGACATTATTCTTGGGTTATTCATAATGCCACAAACTCAAAAAGCAATTCCTTATTCAAGTAGATGAGAATAATACATCCTGGAAGCTCATAACTGTCTTACTAGATTTATCAAAGTAATACACACAAAAAGCAAAGGAAATAGTGGAAAGCAGTCTTCTCCACATTCCTCACCAGAAGCCACCATTTTAAAAATCATTTCTAATTCTAATTTTTCTAATGGTTTCCACCATATCTCTAAATGCAGTTATGTGCCATGTAATGACATTTTGGTCAACAATGAACTGTGCACACCCCTGTGGAACAATAGGCTATACCATAGCGCCTGGGTGTGCAGTAGGCTAGACCATCTAGGTTTGTATAAACACACTCAATGACATTCACACAACAAAATCAACTTATGACACATTTCTAAGAATATATCCCATTGTTAAATGACATGCAACTGTAATTTGCTTCTACTTGCTTGTTTCATCATTTAAATAACATTAATTCTCCCTCTATGAATAATATAGATTTTTATTTCAGCTCCCCACCTTATTTCCCCCAGTATTAATAATTTTAAATTGTTTTTGACTTTGACCTTGTAAACTTTAACTATATAATTAAAATTTACTTTTCTGAACTGTCAACTTTCAATGGTATCTCTGTGAGGATACCAAACATGAAGAAAGTCAGCAGGTTGCAAGACCACGTCAGGTCACACAAATAATTCTGGACATAGAACATTTTTTAAAAGCTTCACTACAGACCCTTTGCTGCTCAGTTCTGAGCCACTCTTTTGTCCGTTTGGCTCATCTGTAGATACACTTCCATCCAAGTTTCTTTTAAAATATAATAAATATACCAAAAAAAGGGTGGGGGGCACAAATCCTAAGATTTGGCTCCATGAATTATTACAGAGTGAGCATCTGTGTAACAGCCCCTCCAGTCTAGAATAGACCACTCTGAGCACGCTAGAAGTCTCCCTGCTGATTTTTCCCAAACATTATTCCCACACCTCCCTCAAGGCAACCATTCTCCTGGCTTTAAGTGTAAACACTTCCTTGATTTTCATATGTACATGCTGCTCTAAACACTATTTAGGTTTTGCCTCTTATGTTAGGTTTTCTGGACTTTAGACAAATGAAATCATGCAGTGAGAGATTTTGTTAGTTCTTCTTTCTTTCATTCCACGTACTATTGGTGAAGTTCATCTATGTTGTGAAATGTAAACGTATGGACTCACTCATTTTCTTGACTATGTAGTGTTCTAGGCTATGAATATGAAAATTGATTTAGCTATTCTGCTTTTTTAAATAATTTTACCTCTTTTTCTTTGGTTTTTAATGCAGATCTCTGCAGTACAGCATAATTTTTCTTTTTCTTTATTTTTATTTTGTTCTCTTTTTAATTAGCTATTCTGCTTTTAATAAGGAATTGGTTCCAATTTGGGGCTATTTTGGAAATTACTTCCATAAGCATTATGTTTGTCTCTTAGTATTGGCATGGTTTTCTGTTGGCTATATACGTGGAATTAGAATTGCAGAATATAAGGTATATGTTTCCCTACTTCAGTAGATAATGTCAAACTGTGTTCCAAAGTAACCCCACCAATGTATAATCCCACCAGTTCTGTAAGAGTCCAATCACTGATCCACATTCTCCCCAATTCTTGCTATGACAAGTCCTTTTTATCAAAGCACTCCGATGAGTATTTAGTCAAATCTCACTGATTCTACATTACATATCCCTCATTAAGGGTGATATTGAGGGCATTTCATGGCCAGTTCAGATTACTTCTTTTGTCACATGTCTATTTTTAATTGGATTGACAATTTTTTTCTTTTAATTAGAAGCAAGTATTTTATATTCTCAGTTATGCATATTGAAAATATTGTCTCTATTAGATAGACTGCCCTTTCAGTTTCTATAAAAGTGTCTTGATTTAAAAAAAAAGTGTGTGTGATTTTAAAATAATGTAATTTATCAATCATCTCCTTTTTGATTAGTGCTTTTTTTTATGGCTAGTTAAGAAATCTTACTCTACCCCAACATCACAAAGATATTTTCCATTTCCAGAAGATCCTAAAGGAAAATATCTTTGGGATCTTCAACTTACCCAGACTGGTTTTGTGAATGGTGTGCAGTAAGGGTCAATTTTCATATTTTTTTATATTCAACTATTCAGCCCCATTTAATGAGATTAATGTGATTCTATTCTACTGTTCTAAAATTCCATCATTATATAAATCAAGTGTTCATTCTCAATTCTCTATTTTATTCTGTTCTCAATTCTCCATTTTATTCCACTGATTTCTTTTTTTATCCTTGACTTAATTGCTATGCCCTTGTAATATAAGCCTCAGAATATGGCACAGCAAGTGCCCCATCATTTTTGTTTTTGTTTTCTTCTCTAAGAAAGAGATTTTAAATATTATAGAATCAAATAATGAAAAAAAAAGCTGTTGGAATTTCTTTGGTATTATCTTTCCAGTAATGCCTGGAAAGTCCATGAATGTGGTATATCCTTCCATTTGTTTACTCCTTCTCTTCTCCCAAAAATGATTTATAAATTGAAGAGATTCTGTTAGTTTCATTCCATGTACCACATGTAACTTGATGTTATTTAAAATGCTTTTTAAAGAC